GTTTCCCCACCACCAGTGGTACGATGGTGTAAGGCACCACAACAGAAGAGCCGGCCGACAGCGTCACTTCCTGTGTGTGTCTGTCTTTAAAGGCTATGCTGCACATGCCCTCCGTCTTCATCAACACCACCCTCACCTGAACAGGAACCAGTCACAGCATAATACCAAATGCATTTAATTTCATTTTATTGTATTTCAATGAAAAGAGAATAGACGCTGCATTTTATCTTTAGCTATGCTAGCAGCATGGCTCTGAGAATGGCATCGTTGGTCGTTCTGTCTTTTATCATTTTGGTCAAGTCTAAAATATCTCCACAACTTTTACATGGAAAAAAAACCTTGTGAAGACATTCATGGTGCCCAGAGGATAAATCCTACTGACAGGTCATCCCCTGTTTTTTCCTTTAGCGCCACCATAATGTTGACATTTGTGTTTCTACAACTTTTGGATTGCCATATTTTTGCCAAATTTTGGTACACACACTCACGTTCCCCTTGGAATGAATTGTAATCACTTTGGTGATCCCTTAACTTTTCATCTAGCATCATTCTATCATTCTGTTTAGTGCTATTTAGCAACTGTTAGCATGCAATCATGGTAAACTAAGATGGTGATCATTATACTTGCATTATACTGCTAAACTAGCATGTTAGTAATATCATGAGCATGTTAGCATGCTGAGAACAGACTCAGAGGTGCTAGTATGGCTGCAGACCCCTGTCTTGTTTTAACTTCTGCAGAGAAAGATTTTTGTTTTGTTTTATCTATCAGGCAACTCCGATTGTAGTAAATGCATTTTATATTTACTCAATTCCCCAACTGAAAAGAAAGGAAGTGTCAGTACTTGATTGATTTTCTTACATGCAGTTCGTCGTAGCCGTAGTTGTGGATGACGGCTTTAATCTCGACCTGTTCATTCTTCGCCACTGAATATGGCAGCTTCAGGTCAACAAAGAAACGCTTCCATGCTCTGACATTGTACGGCTCGGCAACACAGAAACCTACAGACATTCAGAAGTACATTGCAGTGATGGGATGTATAAATGTGTATGAGCATTTGTAGTAGGTCCATTATCCTTAGCGTTTAGAGATTTGAGTTTTCAAACTTTTTTGCAAAGTGAGTGCTTTTTCAGGAAATTGTATAATTTAGGTTTATTGTGCTTTCACACTTCTAAGTGGTCACATTATGCTCATTTTCAGCTCCTCTTTTCACATGTATATATCTGCAACTTTGTTCTTCTATTCCATATTTATATATTTCTACATTTATTTATGTTGACTGTATGTTTGTCTACGTGTAGCACCTTATCACCGCAACAAATTCCTCGTATGTGTAAAACACTACTTGGCAATAAAGCTCCTTCTGATTCTTCTTATTCTTCTGATTCTGATTCACCCTGTGTGTTGATCACTCTGTTTTAGCTACGGAGTGATGCATCTCACTTCTGAAAGATCTTTGTTGGGAGTTGCACATGCGCAGAACCTAATTAAGGACTACTAGCGCATCAGAAGCAGAGTAGGACGGGTCCTGACAAGCATGTAAACACTCCTTCGGTTCAGCTGTATATGTTCCTGAACCAGCTTAGCAACCAACACTGGAGCAAGAGTTTCAGAGTGGTGAGTTATTGCTCTGCAACACATTGATCTTTCATACGTAACGTTTTAACTGTGTACTGTCACTACATCACAGTTACAAGTTTATGTTCATTGATTGTTTAACGTTCGTTAGGGAGAGTGGGGATGAGGGGTGGCAGCAGGTGGACATCTTGTCACTGGGCGCTGCAGCTCAGTGTGTTTTTACATCAGTGTTTTTGAGGGCGTACCTGATTAGTCGCTGACCTTGTGACGCGCGTTACATTGGGTCGCAACATAGTAACAGAAAAAAAGGTTGGACTAAAATCATGCTGTTTTCAGACAGTTGAGCAGTGTTTTCTGTGGGAGATGGGAGACTCCCCGTGAGGTGGAGTTTTTCAATTTGCAAACCTATTACATGCACAAAGAAAAAAGCCACAAAGCATAATATGACCTCTTTAAGTAACACAATTATGAAGCCAGTTAAAGTTTATTAATACTTATCGACGACCTCCCCCTCCGCCTGAGCCTACCTGTATGGGGTGATGCACTAATGGCCAGGACTCCCCATTCAGTGATGCTGTCAGGTAAGGGATTAGCCACGTTCATAGACGCCAACCTGTTGATCAGATTCATGTCTGTATTATTACCAGCAAGGAGGTCCTGGATCAAAAGCAAAGCTCTTTTTGATAGATGAAACAAAAATGGTATATAGTAGCTGTATAAATGTTCAATTCCTGTAATAAAGCAAGATTTGAAAATGTAAATGTAAATGTTCTTTTCTTTGTATCGTGTGTACAGTTTCAGCAGCCACAGTAACTTGGTGATAAACAAATAAGAGCAACTTTGCAGTTCGGGTTGACTGTTGCATTTCACAACGCAAACAAGGACACGAGTGTATGTGTACACACACACACACTGTTGTAAAGGACATCAGTGTTTGTTTAATTCAGGGAAACAGAGTCAGTATTGTTGATCATGAGCTGTTCATTCAGCTGTTATCAGCTGTTATCACTGACCAAACAAAATATGAAGCAACGCAGGGAATTCACAGTGCTATGAGTTTTGCCCCACATGATGACATTGATAATGAGAGGCTTTGGGTCCTCACTGAGCCATGTTTTTTATCCAACAGGCATGGTACGTCAAATATAATTGGCTGGATTTAGACAAGACTTTTGAGGACCCCGTTGCTGGTCCATAGGCACAAGGGGGTGCCACTGTACAGTGTTTGTTTAAATATCCAGATACCAGACAGACAAGATAGGAGACACACATTTGGGGGAGTGATGCATCTCATGCTGACTTCATATGTTTTATTTTCAAAATGGGAAGTTGAGTACACAATGTGTTTGGCATTCTACTGGTTTAAGTCCTGAGAGTCAGCTGTTGTCTGGCTCCTTTGAAAATTCAACTGCATTCAATTATTATTTTTATGGGACTAAGAAAAGGAAAGACAACATTTAATCAATAAAAATATATAAAAATGTAAAAGTTATGTTCATTGGGTTAGTTGTCTTTTCTGTGCTTCAACATGTAATGTAATATAATATAAATCAGATCTAAAGAGTGATGCTGTAAACAAATTGTTTGCCTCTGATTTAACCTCTACTCTAATCTTTGACTCACCCGTCTGTCTCTGCCTGGATGGGCAGCTTAACATCCATCCACAGCCAAGACTCGTAGAACTTGGATCGCAGATACACTTGAGTCTCATCCAGGTACTCCCACTCTTCCTCCTCCTCCTCCTCCTCTTCTTCGTACACTAACTCCCTCCCTTGTATGTGCAGTTCAGGTCCAAGCATTCCAGGCCGTCCAAGCCGTGCATGAAAACGTGGCCGTTCTATGTGGAAATCTTTATTTATGATTAGCAGGTCTACTCTTGACATCTTATAACATATGAATAATGAAATTCCCTTCAGCCTCAGCCATATTTCGCGTTTAGTGATAATTAGCAAACGTTCAAGATATCTTGTTTACTAAAATCAAACAGAAATAGGAACAATAATTACCCCAGCTTTCAACAAGTACTGCAGTGTGCCAGGTTGGAGAGGAGGTGGTGGGGGGAGCTGTGGTTATAGGTGGTGGGGTGGTGGGAATCTGGGTGTCAAATACTTGGTTCCTGTAAGTGGCGCAGCAGTAGCGGAAGGCCCGCATGCACTCCCAGCCCTCTGTGATGTAGAGGGAGCGTCGTGTACAGGAGTACGGCATGAGAATCTCCCTGAGGCCGTCCCTACAGCAGCGACGTTCCAGCTTCTCTTTGTAATGACTCTCTGGAGGCAGAAGTAGGGGAGGAGAGGGAACCAGCTGAGAGTCATCAGTACTGGCAAGTACTGTAGTATTCAACAGCTTTTATTTCAACAATTAAGGAAACAACAGTGTTTTATGGGAAATTGGTTGCTGGTAGTGTTTTATGCCTTTTATGGGTAGCTGTTTTGGTTTTAATAGCACGTTAATCGTATCGTTTGTTGTGAATATGCGCTACAGTAAGTGCCCAGCTACTTGCTCTGCAGTAAATGCCAGACAAAGTTAGCGGCAGGTGAAGAAAGTGGAATCCCCTAAACAGTCTGATATTTTAGTTTTATAGATATAGATACTGTAGATAGATAGATATTTTATAGTTAGTGGAGACTTTATCTAGAGCTTAAACGAGACTGAAAAAAGAGCTTGCATTCATCAGGTAGACAGAAACACAACCTCAATGGGGTGAAAATGTTGTTCTATGCCTGTGAGATGTGTAAAAAGGCCACTTTTTGCTAACACATTGGCTTGTACAACTTCATCATTTTACAATGTCAGTTTGTTTTGGTGTTCTTCTTTCCCTAAGTGACCAATTAGTTATTGAACTAACTGAAGTTACAAGGGAGGACAAGCACAGACAGTAGAGCAGAGTAGATTTTGGGTGTACATTTTATACTAGCCAATCTCAATTGAACCTCACTTAGCTCAAATCACCAGTAGTTCTCCCTCCCTGTTCCCCTCTAAACAAAACTCAGTGACCTGAGGATACTCACCCAGCTGGACTTTACGCTGCAACTGTTCAATAGAGCGCCTCCTTCTGGCACTGCCTGGACACTGCAGGACTGAAGAGAGGAGAGGATAAAAACATGATTTTGTTTATCAACATTATGTACAATCTTTGTACAAATCAACGCTGCATCAGTAGCATTAGTTTTGTGTAACAACTTACCAACAGTATGTATGTGACCAGTTATTAAAAAAAAAAGCTTTTGGGTAATCAGTGCTGCTGATAGATACCAAGGATGTAATGGATAAGATGCAGTTTCAGCAATTATGTATTTATTACAGGATTGATAAATATTACACTGCCTATGTGTTCGGAGCTCAAATTTCAAACTGATTGCAAAAAAGCTGTAATGTCTACTTATTATTTTCATTTGTGGTAGAAGACATTGTTTTTTCACACAAGTATTTGGGGTTTTAGTAGAGAGTTTTACTGTCGCATGATAGTTTAAATGTTGTTTCAGTGGCTCACCCCTTTTGTATGTATACAGTCAAGAGATTTAATAAACAAATAAGATACAAATAAGACACTGGACAAATGCTACGGCAATTTTACTGACTCCTATGCTGCTAATATTAGGCCCCCCCCTCTCAAACTCCTATCATAACATCATCCAAATGATTCCCACTTTCAGGTCCGCCCTTAAAAGAAGCAAGACTGTCAGTGTCTGGCAGGACAAGTATAAGGAGAAGCTAAGTGGCTGTTCACTAAGTGTCAATCTGGCCACAGATTGGGATGTTTTCTATCAAGACAATAATACTGACAATATTACGGCAAGGTACATTCTTTTTTGTGTTGACACCATTGGGATATACCGGAATAATAATAAAAACTACATCACGCTTAAGAGAGAAAAGATTGCATTAGATGGGGAAAAGCCTTCCAGAACAACGATATGATGGAACTGAAAGCAGTTCAACAAGAACTAAAAAGGAAACCAAAGGAGGTGTAAGACCAACAACATAACATGTCAATTTGGGTATAATGATAGAGGTACAAATGACTCTTTAAGCACTACAACTCATTTTATTTAAAGCACCTGGAAAATCTTACAGCTTATGCTAGACTGTAGTTGATGGACATTTAATACCATACTCCCCAGATCCTTTAGGTGAACCCTTATATAATCAGTAAAAGTATTAGGACACCTCTCTGAATTAATGAATTCATGGTGTGGGCTTGTTTTTCAGGGGTCGGGCTGGGCCCCTTAGTTCAGTTAAAGGAACTGTTAATGCTTCAGGACACCCAGACATTCTGGACAATTTTATGCTCCCAACTTTGTGGAAACAGTTTGGGGATGGCCTCTTCCTGTTCCAACATGACTGTGCACCAGTGCACAAAGCAAGGTCCATAAAGACATGGATGAGTGAGTTTGGTGTGGAGAACTTGAGTCCTGACCTCAACCTGATTAGAGGTGGAGGCTGTGAGCCAGGCCTTCTGGTAAAAAAGTCCTGAACATACTCTAAAAACCTTATGGACAGCTGTCCCAGAAGACTTGAAGCTGTTATAGCTGCAAAGTGTGGGCCAACTCCATGTTAAACCCTACAGGTTACGAACGGCATGTCATTAACCTTCATGTGCATGTAAAGGCAGGTGACCCAAAACTGGCAAAATAGTGTATTTCACTAACAGTAAGTGAAAATGAATTAAACCTTTTCAGACGTACAAATCATTCTCAAGTATGCCAATACCAATGTGTGAAAAGAAAAGTTACTCAGAAACCATGACACAAACAAGTATATTATCAAGTTTTCTGATCATTAACATCATCATTAGTAGTTAATAACGCGTTACTGCCTATAACAACTTATGGTGCAGCACAAGCTCAATACATAGCACTGTAATATATAGTTTCAGACAACCAGAGACTTATTTAAAGACTATACAAGAAATCCACCTTTAGCAGCTCCAGTATTGCTGCAGTTTCAGCAAACACACAGCACAAACATGACCTTCACAGCTGCTACAAAGGGACATATGGACTCAAACAGCAGACACAGCAATTTTTAGAGCAGCTACTTATTTAGCAGTTACTTAGATTGTGTATATTTTCATTTATCTACATGTATAAAAGTACACTGTCTTTACATAGAGGGGAAAACCTGGGAAAAAAATACTCTATTAATACATATATTTCAACCCCCCCCCCATTTTCATATTTTAAGAAAACAGGTCACAAATAACAGGTTGTAATTAAAGCCTTTTATATTCAGCTCATTACCTACCAATGTTTTTAAGGCAGACTTTGCATACCTCCTATATCTCCTCCCCTATTCAACTGCAATACCTTTTTGTATCTAATAAAAACTACCAAAAACGAAGCTCACATCTGTGGGTTTTTTAACATTTTCGCAGTAGCTCAAATTCACAACACAAACACGAAGACTGAGCAGACAGCTGCTCCATGCACGAAGGTACCTTGTCTGGTTTGGGTTTTAAACCCGGTGTTGGAGGAGTAGAGCAGTCCTGCATCTGAGAACACTGCAGTAGCATCTCTGCCTCCCCCTCGGGTGCAGCCGATGTCTCCTTGTTCCACCACGTCCCAAATCTGAGGAAAAGGTCCCCCATTGAGGACAAGGTGACATGAGGTTTTTGCAGTTCTGTTTTGGAGTTTCAGTACAGAACAAAAACATTAACAATGCTTCTCAGATCAACAAATAACCCGCTGACTTGTGACACCACAGTATTTTCAAACGTTTATAATTATTGTACATATTTTCAAAACAAAAGGGTGGAGCTGGAAAAAGATTGAAAACAAATTGAGAAACTAAGATGTTTACATGTTTATGTCCACAAAATGTGTCAAAGAATTTGTGCTTATGCTCCTATCATATCTTTAACTGTATAAATAAATTAAAAAAATCATAATCCAAGCATAAAACATTGTTGAGATTCTACATGTTGCCATGAATAACAGCATCATTCAGCACCACTTCTCTTTTAGATGTGTGTGCCTTTCTTCTGTTTGATTGGTAAAAAAATGTAGCTTTATCATTGTTCAGATCTGGGGTATTTTTTCTTTGTTTAAATGATGCCTGCAGTTTTGATGGTAAGTTACTGTCATTGATGCTATAACACACTCCCAATCCCCAATAAACACACACACCTTTTTCTGTGTAAGCCTGTCCCTGTTGAGCAGATACACAGCGTTGTCCACAACCACCAGGCTGACCTTTGCCCCCGGATCACCTCTGACCTTAAAATTAAAACTCTTCCCAGGCGTGTATTCTCGACCTATGCCGTCCACCGGCCCAACTGTCAGCTATAAGAAAGAATGAATAAAAATGCATCAACACAACGATGAACAAAAGAGTAAAGACAGTTAATGGCCACATTCAAAATGAAGATGCAAACAATCAAACAAAATAAAATATTAAATATAAATATAAAACAAATTGAATAAGAGGAATTTCTTATTGTCAACGCAAACCCCACAACCAACAAGTGTGTTAATCCATCTCCAAGTACTTTCTGACTTCCTGTCTGTGGCTCTCCAACCATTGATTCCTACTGATCACATACATTACAGGGTACTGTAGTTTTTACTAAACATTACGCAAATGGGAGGAAACAGTTAATTTACATATATTTTTGCAGCAGATTAATCCACATTTGGTGCTTTAGTGAGTATTTCTGGCAGCAGGACGGTCGGTGTATATGAGATTGAGTCAAAATAAACTAGTGTGTACGTTCATGGTGAAGGAACAGCATGGCTCAGTGATGTGTTTCTAATCATTTCAATAGAGCCCTTTGGCACAGAGGAGGAATAAGATATATAAAAATCATTGTCGTTTTGGTCTTTTCAGTCCTTTATGCATTAAGCCTCACAGTGTGAATGAAGTTGGTGTGTAGCATAGGTGCAATAGTGACCTCTGAGACTGAGCTTATCACTCACCCCTCCAGCACAGGAATTTTCCACATCCACCCAGATGGAGTCCGGCACCACCTCCTCGCGCCCCACCCAGGGAATACTGTAGAACGCCACAAAACGGAATGACGGCATCATCTCCGGGGTGACTATGAGTCCGATGCTGGTGAACACCTGACTGCCACGATCCACACGCCCAGCAACAATGATTTTGCCTTTATTCAGCACCTGAGAGAGTTTTGGAGAGAAAGTCAAGATAACTACATCTTGTTTGTTTATGTCTGTTTTTTCTATGATTTTATGTTGCTGTTTGATTCTTCTCCTACTTTCTAAAGTGTCCTAGAAATTTGACACGGTGTTTTGGCCTCACCAGGTAGGTGATGTGTTTAATGAGATCTTTGTGTGTCGGGTCTGCAGTATTTATGCTCAGCTTCAGGGACAGTGTGTCTCCTAGAGACACCGTGTTGGTCGCTGTGGAGATATAAAGGTAGTTCTGCTGGTTCGGGTTAAAGGTGACATACGGATGAACAGTGATCTGTTGTTTGGCCTGCTGCTCTGGTCTCAGGTCGGGCTGTGCGGTCTCAGCCTGGGAAACAAACAAAACAAAAAGCTTTGTTCTTATAATTCTAAAGACAGATGTCCTGTGTCCAACATCCATGTTGGTAGATCACGTAAAGCCCACAAAGAAACAATACAAACACATGAAACCAATAAAAGAAAACTCAATAAGAACATTTTTTAAAAGCCATTATGTACCTGAGAGGTCTGACTTTTATTGTTCTGTATGTACTGGTCACATTTTTCATACTTTGTTTTGTTTTTGTACTTGTGTTGTTTATCTCACTGAACTAAACTGAACTGAAGGTAAGAAAATATTGAGAAATTCCCATCACAAAGTGATGTCTTCAAATCTGTTGTTTTGTCCACACAACAACGAAAAACAGGCAAAGTCAATTTAGTGTCATAGGAAAGACTTCACAAATAAAGAAAAAAAAGAAAGAAAGAAAGAAAAACTTCACACAAATAAATCTTCACATTACATCAATCGATCAATCTCCACATGCTGGAACCCGCTAATTTGAGCTATTGTTTCTGACTAACTTTCTGTTGATGAACCAATTGAACTGAATCGACTAATCATTTTCTCTCTAATGCAAAGCACAGTGCAATAAATAAAGAAATATTAAAATAGATGCCAAATAATTTAATGCTGAACTTTGGGGAAATGTCGCTAAATTATGCACCACACATCTAGAAATGTATATATGCAAATGATAAACATTCAACCAACAACAGAAACAGCAGAACATTTTAAATAAAAGGATGAAAAAGTATAAAGCAAGAAAGAACCAGTGCAGTCATGTGTAAATATTCAACAAATGAGGTGTGATGATTCATAGTTTAAAGTTAAATTCTTACACCACCAGTCATTCTGTTTTAAAATCCATGCTCACCAAGCTACATGTGGGTAGAAGCAGTGAGTAAAATGAGAATGCAGTCATACTAACAGTGATAATTTGTTGGAGTTGATCGCTGGGCATGTTGATGGTGACTCTTGCGCTGCCAGAGAGGACGACCACAGGCTTCTGCAGTAGATTCAACTTGACCAGGACGTTACGGGGCGGGGGACCCTCATGGTGATTCACCAGGACCTGGGCAGGTTGGGGAAAATTTCTCACTGTGATTTCATACACTTTTTCATTCAACATTTCATTCAACGGTGGCTGAGCTTAAGAACATGAACACAACACACAGAGGACCCAGCTTGTGGCATTTAATTATACTGTACAAAGGTTCACAGGAAGATGCTTACTGTGAAGTCGAAGGGTAGGCCTGGCTTGAAATACTTTGGCATGTCTTTGAAGGATACCACATAAAGCGACTCGACGATTTTAATGCCAGTCTTCTCTGCTTCAACCAGATCACTGCCTGTACAGGAGAAAACAGTACAACGTGACCCGCATTTCCTAAAAGCTGCGCAACAGGGGAGAGTCAAAGATTTTGATAACTTGAGTTTATGCAGAGGGCTAAAGGTTACGTTAATAGACATCTGACCCCGGGCCACATTTCAAAAGTGGAATTGTTCAGATTTCACTATCGATCTGTCCAGTACAGAGGATAAGATAAACTGATTACGACATTTTGAAGTTTTGGTCTTACTAGGCGGTGGAACAAGGAACCGATCAAACACATTAAACTTAGCCTCAAAAGATATGATCACATGCAGCGGCACTCCACACAGCCCACATCACAGTTTGTTTACACTTGTTTTCTGTCACTGTGATACTATTCATACAAGTATATGGTAATATTTCACCACTCTTAGTACAAAAACACAACAGATCATCAAAAACGACCTTTTTCAATAACCATAAATACATGTGATATTGACTAAGTACAAAAAACATCTAGAAAGATACATTATACACTAAAAATACATTATGTTCAAACAAAGTACATTGTCTCTATTGTTAAAATACATTTTACTATCACTATGCTAATTGTTCCTAATTCATCATTGCTGAAACATTTACTTCATATACATGTATATATTGCTTATTTTGCCTGATATGTTCAGATTCAAAACTTAAGAATCACCACTCTAAGGGGTGAAATTTTTATACGACCTTAGTGGGATTCAAACCCACAACCTTAGAGTTGGTAGCTTAGTGCTCTAACAAAGTCACAAAGGAACACTGCAGCGATTACAGTATGTACAATACAATACTGTAAAATGCACTACAAGATTACCTTTCATAATTATTGGTATAATATATGTTGCATTTGATTACACAAAACATATATGTTGAAATAAAATACTGTAAATGTTAGTTTGTTGCATGAAAGAGTGGAGAAGATGTCCTCTTTCATCACACTTTTGATCATGGGATGGATTTTTTTTTTGCCTAATGTGAAAACAGTGAAATGAACTATATAACAGGACTAAGTGACTGTTACAATGACTTAACTGAAAAAATTGCACCATGTTATGTTAAAATGACTTAACAAATGTACTCATTGTATTTCACCAAAAACTTAAGAGGTTGAATCTTAGATCTTGTGGTGAAAGATGTTTATAAACCAAATGAAAGGGAAATCAGTTGTTTCGAATGTAAATTTTATGATTATTTATTATTTATTTGGAGTCTTGTAGAACGACTATTGATAATAGTACCACAGTGACAGAAAATTCTGATTCCTGTGAGTACATGAAAGATAATCATACTCTTTAAAGTAAAGTAAATCATTTCACCCATGTTTGACAATTTGTATGTAAGATTTTAGACAAATTACTACTGACTGGTTGACTTTCTGTTGTTTTTCCTGTATACCCGCGGACTTGTGCTTACCTGACTTGGTGAGCACAGATGCCTTGACATACACAGAGTTGCCCACCAAAGATCTAATGTTAGGGTAAGCTCTTTTGATCTCCTCCATGCTCAGTCTGACAACTCCTCTATCCAGCTTCAGGAGAACAAGAAAACAGAGAGCCATTTTATAAAACATCTGACAGAAATAAAGGCTATTCTGCTCTAAGTAACAACCAATACTTATTTGTTTATTTATTTTTCTGACAAAATATTAAATCTTGGCTCAAGGTCCACATACAGGAGTTTTTTTGAGCTTTCTGGAACAGCACAGCACAGTCTTGATAGGCAGAGTTTGCTCAGTGAGGCAACTGATACTCATACAGTTATGCTAAGCTAACTTCATCCATTGAGAAAGGCTTTGAGTTGTGTTTGAAAGCTCTTTCAAGAGCCATGACTATTTCCAAGTTCAAGAATGAAATGTTTAAATATGAAACCAAATGACTTTGTGCTGAAGCGTTAACACCAAAATCTATGCAGCTTTTAGCCTCTTTTAGCTCATTGTTTTGGTTCTCCAACTGCACATGGACCGTATGGTTGAATCCCATGGCTCTCACCAACTCCCCATATAAAACGTTAGGCAAACATTTCCAGCAAACAAGGTCAAAGCCAATCTGCCCAGAACCAACGGACAACATAGAAGTCAGTGTGAATAGCTAATGAAGACAGAGCCAGATATTTTACTCGGTAATAGGTGGAGTCCAAAACAGAGCTAAAAGAAGAGTGAATATTGGACTCTATTCACTTATGGAAACTCAAATTTACAAGGACAAATACTTCACAGCACAGGCCACATTATTTCACTGGGTACCACTGGTAAAGTGCAGTGCAAAGTCACCACAGTGATGTTCTCTTAACATCAACCATAGCCAAAGAATACCAACCAATGAGAATGCTAAAGAGAACCAAAACTTCGTAGCAGCTGCGAAACATTATGACATAGCTCACTAATGTGGCAGGAAAATTTTATAACAGAACCCACAAAATCAGTGACAACAACTGGTGAACTTTGGGATGGAGCACTGACTTACATCTGACACCTCCTTCACTGAAGGCAACCTTATCATCTCTTGATTGATCTTCACTCCAAACACCACGTAGGCCGTCCCCTGGACTGGCTCCCCATACAGGTACCTGAAACAAAATGGTTAAGCCAACAGTGAGCAGGTTTCATTCATTCTTTTCTTATGTACCCTTCTGGAGGAAAATCCTCATGAAATCACATACCGTGTTCATATGTATGTTCTTGTGGTTTCAGTATGAGGATTAAATGACCTCGTAAGAAAATGTTTGCACCTCCTGACTTCCTCAGAGGTTAGTTTAGTGTTGGGACATGGTTTTAGAGTTAAGGTTAGGATTAAGGTTAAACTAAGTGCAGGAGTTAGTAAGACTTAGGGTATGGCAGTAATTGTCAACAGAAGTAACAGTTGAAGGTCAATCGGTAGTAGTGTGGGTTACGTTCACTTTAGGGAGCTGGTAAATGAATATGGCTAAAAGATGCATCATGAATTGCAGTGCCATAACAAGCATGTGTGTGCGTGTGTTAGACCAACCTGGCCGAGATATCTACTACCAATTCACTGTCATCCAGGCTGAGGAAGGACTTCCTGGGTGTCAAGGTGACATTGAAGGCCGGAAGCACTGAAACACAAGATGCCATATAAATATAGCATGTCTGTATGCCACAATTGGAGAAACTCCAATTATGTAATGCATACCCGAGAAAATAATTTCTAGTGTGACTGAAAAGCCGCTACTGATGTTAAAAGCAAAAGTAGGCAGGGTTTAACTTACCATATTTCTTCACCTGGAACTGAGAGGTGAATGTGTTCTGCTGCCAGTGGTCAAACTTTGCCGTCACTATCCATGTTCCTTCACTGCCACAGACATATCAGAGATAGGACATAAAACAGAGGAAACAGAGGAACTGATGGGTTTGAGGTGCTACATGCGTATATAATTTAACAGGACTACTCTACTGCCTACAGCTGTCATCTTAGTGTAGCATCTTAGCATGCTAACATTTGCTAAATACACCGGATTTTGACCTGATTATTACAATTTCTCCTGAGCGGGACATGAATGTGTATACCAAACTGAATGACTATCTATAAGAGTCAGTTAAATTCATCCTTTGGTGACCATGAATGTCTGTTCAAAAAACACTTTTGGAGATACGCGAGTATGAACCAAAGTGGTGGATCAACAGACAAGACGAGAAATGCTGCTTAAACTGGGGTGAAGGAGCATAAACGTGTTAATGACCAGTGAGTTGCTGATTCCAATTTCTAGGACGGAATAACACTTTCCCTCCTCAACATATTATGCTGAGATGCCCAACCGTCAAGAATATACAATTTCTTGAAGATTTACATTGTATTGTATGAATGTGAAGCAGGCTAGCCTTGAAAAATAATGTCTACACCTTTAAATCTCTTGGCAGCGGAAGGAGTTGAAAGATGAGTGAAACAAGTTGATCTTACTTGACAATTTCAGAGAGAGGAAAAGTGTCTGCAAAGACTCCACCAACGGCTCTGCTCGTGGAGATTTGTTTAACCACCACACCGTCTGGATTCTGAAACACACACACACACACACAAGCAGGACATTTGAGCTATTACAACCGATAATTTAATAAGATATCACAGAAACAATACCAAAAACAGATCTATAAAGATCTATAAAAAAGATCTATAAAATCTTTACACTCTCTTTTTGCGTTATTTACATCCCTCTTGACTTTTTAACATTTATAGTAAGAAGTCAAAGCAAACGCTCTGTATTTGTTTAGCACCTTTCCAGTCTTAGTGACCTTTTACACTACATCACATACAGCCTAAGTGCTCAAACAGAAACTAACATTCACATGCTGGTGGAACAGCCACCAGGGGCAATTTGCCCACGGATATTTCGACATGCCTGGAGGAGCCGGTGGGGATTGAACCGCCAATCTTGTGAATAACGGGCAACCCGCGCTACCTCCTAAGCCACAGCTGCCCTCGTAAGTCACACTTATAAGGGCTGTGTTAAATGATCAATTAATCTATTAAGTTTTTAGTCTATAAAAAATCTTAAACCTCAAGGTTATGTTTTCAACGGTCATGTTTTATCCGACTAACAGTCTTCAACCCAAAGATATTCAATGATATAAAACAGACAAAGGCAGCAACAAGAGAATACTTACTAATTAATTAATTAACTCATAATTAACTGACTCATTATTTATTTGTTTACCTGGATATCTATTGAGACAGTGCTTTCAAGGGCCTTAAAGGACGGGGAGGACGCAAAGGCTCTGAACCGAACTGGAGAGGGAAAGACAGCAAGAGGCAAATGGACAAAAAACAGACTGAAAAATAAAGTTTTCATGATGTTTACACCAGTCTCACATTTTTCAGGTATGTTCTCTATATTGTGCATTACCATTACTATTACTACTTCTACCAGCACTGTTTCTGTGACCACCACTTCTACTGCTACCATCATTAGTACTGTTATCACCTCGACTAAGAAGAAGAGATGTTTTGACTACAACACTTAAGACACAAAAGTTACCCTTTTTATTGTTTAAATTTAGTTTAAAAAAATGTAATTCTAATGCTAATGTAAGCTTATTAACCAAACTAAAGCAGCAGTTTCAACCCAAATTCTACATGTGGTCCCTTTTCATATCAATGCAATTTGGTGGTTACGTCATGGTTGGGTTTGGTGGGTGGTATGAGTCATCTTCACTTCTCACCAGTGTCTCCAGGGTTATAGATGGGTTTGTCTGTCTGGATGAAGATGTATCCAGAGTGAAAGGACACCATGAGTACCCTCTCCTCATAGTGGAAGCCCTCAAAGTTCACCTTCAGATGCACAAACTTGTTCTTCTTCTCTTCACGATTCAACTGATTCGAGGGAAGCTGGGATGAAATGAGATTGAGATACAGGATGAATAAGGAAAGGCCTCTGTCAGTACCAGTCCTGATAAAGATGCCTGATCTCTAACCTGCTGCTCTTAATTGGTCAGTCTTTCTGTTGTTTATGTCATGTGACAGCAATCAATGTGATGAACTTAAGTAAACAGATTACTTTCTGCAGTAACCTGATTTCATTTTTAACCTGATTGGTGTCATGTGAAGAGGCACAAACTTTATGTAATCAGGTAGGGGATTAGAGAAACCCAATTTCTCTTGTGGACGGTTGGGAATGGTGTGCTCTTTCACTACAAAGCTCGGTTTCTCATTGCGCAGGTCAGTAAGCTCATGGTTACTGACCTGTGGCAGTGACACAACGTTTTGGTGCAAACACTCGAATGTCGTGCCAGTACATATATTTTTGTTGCAAGTTAAACAGTGTGTGGGAGTTTTCTTTGCAACTTTTGACGTACCCGTCCCCCTCTGACGCACCTATCTCTCACTATAGAGGTGTGAAGCAATTCATTGTTCTGTACAACGGTGCATGTAAAAGCATTTCTGAGCTGGTTTCTTGTGCGCATGTGAACGTACTCAATAAATTTCTGACATTTTAGCATGAATAACACAGCAAACTGATCAGGCCCTTATTATAATGCTTCTCTAAAGATGAGTTGGTTGATAACAGGAGCCACCTAAATTCAGTCTACATTCAAAGGCATAAACCCTACCTGATATGTTTTAAATCAAGTGGGAGAACTACACTTAAACAGAGGGCACATCCCTGCTACTTGTTTTGCTATTCAATGTGTATGTTTTCATATCAGTGTGGGGCTATATATTAGCAACAACATCTGCAGTTTTCTAATCAGGATGAATTAAGTGATGCTGTATGCGACTGCATTTTTCTGCTCTGATCTAGTTTGGATCAGGCATATATGTGGTACAAAGTTTGACTCTATTTGTTGTTGCATTTGAATGCTAAATTCAAAATGTATCAGCATTGCAAAGCTAATAAATCCATCTAATGGCATTCCCGTGAGACAGTAGTAATGATTTTGGCCTAAATTTACCTTTATTTATCCAAAAATTCAAAGGCATAAACCTCACCTGATAACGTTTCTTATCAGTTACACACATCAAATAACTTTTACAGTGAGGAAAAACAATTGGAAGAAAATGCAGACTTCCTTTCATTTTCAAGCACTCAGATTAGGTCCATAGTTGTGATATTACAAAGACAACACAAATGCATTTCTATGAACTTTGAATCTACCTTCTACCCTAATTTAAGACAAATAAAGTTTTTGCCAAAACACCCTCATGTCTCTTTGAACTAGACCTAGGCACCTTAAGTTATGACCCTGGTGAGTCACCTGTATGGATTTGAGAATGTAGTATCCATTTTCCACATTGAGTGTGACAGAGTCCTGGAGGAGTGTGGCAGTCTTACTGAAGTCCTGGATAGAGATGGAGACAGTGATGGGGTTGGATAGACCGTCTGCCTGTAGGTAGATGTTCTCCTGGCTGTCTGTCCTCAGCAGATCTGGAGCCAGAAGGGTGAACCTGCAGGAAAACACCACAACCTGAGGCATGAAGTACTACTACTACTTTCATTGTCGTTAGTACTACTTGACTAACTACTGATACATCTACTACGTCAATACTTCCCAATCACATTTATATTCCTGGAAATGTTGTGAAGGCTTTTAAATCAGTATTTAGATACATAACATTAATAGAAAATATATTGAAACAGTTAACTGAATTAATTCAATAGAAACATGGCCAAATGTTTCAGGTGAAGGAGGAACTTGGACTCATTATCTCTGACCCTGAATACTGCTGCTACTGTTAGGCCACAGCTGCTGCTGTGCAACTATTACCACTAAAAACAAACAATACTTAAATTGTAACATTTTGTTTTGAAAGATAACAGGCACACTGCAAAGCTTGTGAAGGGCACGCAAAGAGAAAGAATTGATGAGTGATAAGATGTCAGAAGGTTACAGAAGGTTACAACAGAGGTTAGGTTGGAGTAAAACTTAACCCAGTCCTCAGTTAGTAGTACTATTCTGTTTGACTGTTGTATTATTGACAACTGTACCTCGGTGCAGAACTAATTGAGACCACTGGGTCTGCAGCGCTGCAAAAAACAGGACAAGTATTAATTTCATCATGATAGATTCGTCATGACACAACCCTGCAAATTTAAGCAGAGCATTAAAAGTCAGGTGGTATTTAGTTTCAGTGGGCTATGGCGACATATGGAAATTACAACAAGAAGGGAAAAGGAAGTGACACTCTTGTACTAACTTAAAACAAAAGAAGCAGGAATTTGTCATTTTTAAACTGTTTGTGTCAAACACAGTGTATCCCATCATTCATTCTACAACATGATAAGAAAATAAATTTTTAAACTGTATTTATTTCTTTCATCCGTTAAGTCCAGCTTTGGTAACTTACCCGTGCATATCAAAGAATGTTTCTGCTGAGACAAATCTGGGGAGCAGAATCAGAAATAACAACTTAAGCTGTCAAAGGTTGCAACCGCATACATGATCTCTATGCGTACACGCACACTCACACTCACACTCATACCTGTGTCGCCAGCGTAACCTGTAAATAACACAACTTCATTAGTAAACACAACTTCAAAGGTGTAAATTGTCCTAAGTAAGCAGTCAACAAAAACTTACCTTCTTTTACTTTCTGTATGTCCATCGCAGTTGCAGAGAAGCACGAAAAATACAATGCCCTGTAGCATCCACTGACTCATGTTTACTGAGTGGTAGCCTCAGTGGACTGTGGCCACAGGACGAGATGGTCAACTTCTATAGCAGACCCCAAGCCCCCCCCCCCCCTCCTACCACATCAGACACTGTACAGTCAACAGGAAGAAGAGGGGCCATGGTTTCAGATCAATAATAAGGCCCGGACTGAAAAAACAGACTCCAGGTTTGCTGGTCAGCAGGCTCTCACATGCAACCTGTTCCCAAACTATAAGGAATCAGCATTAAAATGGGAAAAAAATGTTATTTCAGATACACATATAAAAACTTCGAAAAGACTCCGAAAGGACAAATACACTTCCGAGTTTTCTTCATTTCATCTTTCATCCTCATCCCCAACAGTGCCCTCTAAAGAGCAATGCCACTGCTACATTAGCTGCCTGTGATTTAACTATTCTTTATCTTCCATACAACAGTGCCACTGCAGCAGGTTTACTAATTCCTGAGCGATTTGAGGTAAAGACCATTTCAAGTGTGCGTCCTGAAAGTTGTTAAAGCCCCTAAATACCCACATCACACACACTGTTCTGCATGATTAGAACTCCTCTCTGGACTGTGTGTGCGTGTTCCAACTGTGGTTTACTTGCATCTCTATCACTTCGCCGTTAGCGGTGTTCAACTTCTTACGGTGGGACAACTAATCATTCTTATTAGTACATAGAGTTTTGTGACATGTAATTCGAGCATTGCGCTTCTCAACTTCAACAGAGCAGAGGTCTAATCAGTAACAACAACTGAACCTGTGTGGGTAGGCATGACCTTTAACACAAAAAACACCCAGCTTAAAGCAGTGTCTGTAACATGCAGTGAAGTTTTCAGATCACTCACAAAAGAAAAATACTATGAACTGCACTGGACATTAAGGTTCTTGGTGAAAACTAGATTTACTTATTTTTGTAATCATTACTCAAAATGTTTTTAGGTGGCATTGTTTCTGCTTTACAGGAGATACTGTTAGTGGACAACATGTACTCTCTGCCGTCTCAGTGTATGTTAAATGAAAGTAGGTTAGCAGCTTTGCTCTTTGATTCTTGACCAGAGTCAAAAACATGATGTTCACCACTGGTTGAGGGTGGGGTACAGCAAAAGGCTGCAACAGTTTACAATGTTCAGATAACAAACTCAACTCAAATAACAGTTTTAATGGTATTACACAGTATTTTGCATTTACTTTTACAAGGTGTCTGACAGTGTTGTCATCAGTCCACAGATATGTGGAAATCTAAAAAACTAATAACATTTTAAGCTGGGTTTTCAGCATTTGCACTTAGTCCTTATTAACAGACTGGATCATCATATGACACATTCATGACAATGATTTCCGCAGGCCGCCAAGCTTAAAACTAAAATCTTATTTCACACATTTTGTGTTAGAAAACAAAATATTTCCATTGTGACCAGATAGACGAGTTAACACCACTGTTTTCACAAGTGAACGGCAACACATGTTAAAGCAGATGTCTGCAGCTCTCACAAGCATTTTCAGTTTGTGTTTAACTCTTACAAAATGATTATCATTCAGCCGCATTGTCCAGGGTCTGAATCTGAGTCGCTGTAGTCTGCCACCAGAGATGTGACGGCTCCCAAACTTTTGTACTGTTCCTTCTCCTTCCCAAAGTCCTTCGTTAGTCCTTCATCTGCTTCCTCTGTGGTTTTGGCAAGCGCCTCCCTGAAGCCACTGTCATTTGTCTCTGTTACCTCCTGTCCCACTTTTGTAGTGGCTATACTTGGGGCTTCCTCTCTTTGTGCGACCTTTGAAATCTCTCCATCACATGTGTTGATTTCAGGGTATGACTTCCTGCGAGTGATGGTGGCGCAGGGTTCAGTTTTAATTCCCAGTCCTCCTGTGCGTTTGCGGATCAAGGGGCTGTGTGAGGAGCCCAGGGCTTTGGCCACTGCTGCTTCTTTCCCCTGCAGGCCAAGCTTATGGAGCAGACTGCCTGCTGCACTTCCTGGTGTGGCTGAGGTGGAGTTGAACCACGAACGAGAGGAGATCTCTTTCCGCTTGCTGTGCTGCTTGTCGTCATAGGCTGATTAGGGAGGGAAGCCGTGTTAATATTAGAATTCAAGCTCTGTTTACATACAAATAAAGTAAATATATTAAAAACATATTTAATCTGTTCTTAACATTTGCAAAAAGAGAATGTTTTTGGTGTCATTAGAATTTAAAAGTTTGGCCATGCGAAAAAGCAAAAGTAGTGAAGAGGATATAGGATTTGACAAGATAGGCTTTCTTAAAGAGGTCTAATGTGTCTGCCATTGGCTATTTAGCTCAGTTAGCTATTATGTTATTGGCTGAGTCAAGAATGGGCACCAGCACCTGGTCTGGAACCGTGCAGACCAGGGTCAAACACAGCCTATGAGACTGAGGGAGACCAGTTTGATGACAAGGCTCAGCTATATATTTTGGCCAAATCATACACTGTAGCTTTAACATGGGTATTTTTTTCAGTTGTTTTCATTTTTCTCTTTACTGTT